ACGACGAGGTGGGAGGCCGAACGGTGTCCGGCGGCGGGCTGGCGGGGCCCGTGAACGTTTTCGTCTCGATTGTAGAGTAGGGCTAATTCCCCGCTGCGCTGTCAGGCGTCGAGCTTGAGCATGAGTGAACAATACATACCTCTACAAGTTGCGCAAAACAGTCTGCCCCGCTTTTAAGGACACTCGTCTTAAGTCAACTCCCCTCGCTAAGGGCACAAAATAAACTCAGAAGCATGGTGGCCCGCAGATATACAATATTGAGGGGGGGGGTTACCGATTTCTTCATGCGGGACCCCAAGAATGATGCTGTACCTCACCTACGCAGCACGCTACACTGCACGACAAGCGGCGCTGCTTGTGCTGCTGCTGCTGCCGCCGCAACTGCGTGACGAAAATAATGCTTGGCTTGGGATTGTTTTTTGTGTTCTGCCTGCTGGTTTTGACCATTGGGCAGGAGCGATGGGCTCCCATCTTGTCGGTATCATATTTCTTTCTATTTTTTCTGGCGTTGTCTACCTTTCCGACAGTTGCAGTGTCGTTCCGGGTTTTGTTATGATCCTTGTCTGCTTTGCAGGTAGCGTATGGCAGAGAAAGCGTATGGTTACAATATTTTTTTGGGTGGTAGCGACATGTAACGTTTTCAACGTGGGATGAACACCAAAGCAACAGAACCGACGATCAAGAAAAAATAAAAACTCATCAACAACAACAACACCGCCCTGTTGTTGTAATGTAATACCTCGCCTACAGCAGCACTATACCCATTGTTCGAAGTATTGTGTAGGGGTGGAGTGTTACAATGTAAACGAATAACAGCGAACGTGTAGCTATCAACCACCACACCCACCACTTTGTGATCGTCAGGGTTACGACGTTTTCGTTTCGTGCTACGCATAGTATCCCTGCTGCAATCGTACATCTGTGGCCGTGTGGTTCGCCTCCGTTTACCCCGGGGATGGTGGTTTATCCCCCCCGGAATCTTAAGGACACTTCCCTGCGTTAAGGACACTTTCAAACTAAAAAACGATGGGAGTCCTAAAAGCGGGGTCGACTGTATTGTTAACTTCTAGGGCAAAGTAATGTCATCTGCGGCGGCGTCACATGTCGACCACGGAGGGATATTTCGCCAACAAAGCTCCTTGCAAACTTTTGGCCCATCAGAAAACTGCGGCCACCTCTTACCTACATTGTTCGGTGGAACCAAAGAGTGTGGGAAATATGCCGGGGGTGGTGTGCTTTCATGAAACCCTATACTAGCCTTTGTCAACCCAAAGGTCCAAGCCATGAACGGTATTTCTGAAGGAGGAACGAGCGTGGAAAGCAGATGGGAAATATCGCTGGTGAACACAAACAAAAAGTTGTCCAACATGCATTCAAACAAGCCTATGAAAAAGGAACGGTCAGAAGCCCGCCCCGGGTGCTTCAAGGTACACAGCAATACTAGCGAGAGACCAAGAGGTTCCGAACAACCCAATGCCCGTAAGGAATAGATCGGTGTAGCGCTACGGCGTGGCCTGGAAGCCACAGGAGCTAAATGTTGGGTCTCGATGTCCAATTCAAGTTGGTGATCCGGTCTAAAAAAACACGAAGGCAATACATTGCAATCGAGTTCTTACCTCCTGGCTCAAGAATGAAGGCAAAACGTGCTGGCTACCAACTGCTGTGCTCACTTTCCGTCCGTGGAAACGTTGGGTTGCTTGCGCACTTTGTTTCATCCCGTATCTAACTTGCTTGTGAAACGAGCAAGCCCGACATCAGGAGCAGGGCTTTGCTTGCTCCTTTTCTAACGGAAAAGCAAGCACCAACGGGCCCGATCTTCCTGGTGGTACGTCAGACAGCCGAAAATGGTAACACAGCACGCCAGCTGCTGCTGCGCTTGCAAGCAGCTAGGCTCCCGTGTGCAGCGACACGTGCAGCGACGCGTGGATGATGAGCGCATAGATCCATGCTACCGAGTGTGGTGAATAACTCTAACACCGTTTGCGCGTATCTAGCCCAAAGGTGAGAGAACACGTCTGCTGTCGGATTGATTCACCGCGAATTCAAAGAAAAAATAATTCGTCCTTGTTTTTCTGTGTGGAAAAATCAAGTGGCAAATCTCCGACAAATTTTGAGTCGGAGCAACAGGCAAATGTGCTTTGGCCTCTTGTGTCCCACATGATGGTAGAACCTCGAAGACTGTCACCCTCACGCATTGAGTTCCGCCTGGGTGAACTTGGTCTCACGCAGGTTAGACATATCGCGAGACATCATGAATCAAAACGGCGAGGGTCTCAAGGAGCAAAACGAGAGCGCGCGACGGCGAGAAACGGCAAACAACTTATTCGAGAAAAAATGATTCTTACGGAAATACGGTTCTTTGTACTATAGAGCATGCTCTCTCATCCTCGCTCTCTCGCCCCAGCAGTTGTAGATGCTGAGTGAAACGTAGCGACAAAGTCAGCAGACAACCAAACTACACGGCCACCGACGGAAAACAATGTCAGAGGTGGAAGCCTCGAAAGTTTTAGCTGCATCCTTGACCTGAGAGGTCAGAGATTGCTTGGCGTGACAACCCCTTTCACGCCCATGGTGATTTTTGCTGTGTACAGGTAAACATGTCTCTGTTCGTGTTGGAACAGAAACGAACACAAGCCTGGCCATGGGTCCACACGCTGATGCCTACAACGTATCAACGGTCTGAGGGTGGCTGCATGGTATAGAGGGCAACCTCTTTCAGTCACCCTACCGTGGGAATTACGGCTGCAGTCGTTGACATTCGCTCTCAGGCGTGGAGCGTGCTCGTTCCTTCTTTTTTATTGTTGATATCTTCGTTTGAAGGTAAGTTGACTTTTCTCGTTATTTTTAAGCGATATTTTTTCTCAGAGAGAGCCATCTACATTCTACGCTCGTTGCTCCTTCAGAATACCGTTTATGGCTCGGAGCTTCGTGTGACAATGGCTAGTAGGGCTAGGAAGACTATACAGTCCGCTCTCAGCGCGCCGGCTGGTGCAGGCAGCAAGCTTTACGCTTGTGGGGTGCGCTCTCTGCTCTGCGTCTCAAACCGACGAATTGGCAAGATCCGGTCTTCTGTTGGCCGAAATTACTGCAGTGGCATCCCCTGTGGTTGGTGCCTAGCTTGTTCGCAGCAGAAGAAAGTCTCTCTGTGTAGGTGCTGTATGATCTCCAGTCCTTGATTTTGTGCATACGGGGATGGCTGTTGTGGTGACTGCGGATTTAAGCGTGCAGACAAAGACATCGTGTGCTAGGTGCAAGCGAGATCAAACAGCGAGTGCAGCGCTGGTCGGAGCACTGGGCAGCATGGAGCAGGACTGGGAAGGGGGCCAGAGGCAGAACACGATTTGAACCGCGGGCAGCTGCTGTCACCTCACGATGGTTGGTATACCAAAACACCCGTGTGACAAACTCGAAACGCGCTCACACGGGCGCAGATCCCGCAACCTACAGCGGTCTCTGTTATGCACACATGCATACATTTCCTCGCATCCTGCGGTCTTTGCAATTCGGCTACTGCTGTCTGAGTCCATCGCACGAAATTCTGATGCTGCTATGAACGTTTTCCAACACAAACTGCAAAACGAAGCACAGGAAAACGAAATGTGTACAAATCTGAAAGCGAGGAGATTTGAACGGGGGCGAGAACAAAGAGGGCAAGACAGAAGGGTGTGGGTCATATGCTGTGCGCACAACAATCGCGTCAGGGACACGGCTTCGGCCTCTCTCCTCACCTTATCTGAGAGGTCTGCAACCAACACTTCAGTCTTGTTGTGGATGTTGTCCACCTGTTATTGGATCTATTGGATCTCCCTCCGTTTGCGGTCACTGATCTCAGGTGGTGATGCTGTTGACGAACGAGTCTGGGGACGTGCGGTGCTGCTGAGGCTTGTGGTAGTGCTGCGCATGGCGCTGGTAAGCTGCTGAGGGGGTGTGCCTCTCGCGCCTACCTGTTTTAATCGTGTAGGGCGAACAAGCGATTGCTGTGACCAATCACGATAGTTGACGCAAAATATACCTCATTTTTCGGGGTACCCCGTTTCGACGTCACCGAATTCCCGGACCCCCCCCCCCCCCCCCCCCC